TCACAGTGCTGCTGATCACCAGTGGCCTGAGTTAGCAAACCTCATTTGTCCTGAAGATCCAGAGGATAAGCAGGCTCGTGTTAAAGCTGTTATTGATAATCCTGCTTTAGCCGACTGGTTCTTCTACTACAGGATCCAGAAGTTTTTTGATGCTTTTTATGTCAATACTCTTAAAGCCACAGACTACTGGATGAGGTTTGAGTGGCAACATCGAGGCAGTCCTCATGTACATGGACTAGCTTGGTTACCCAATGCTCCTAATGTTGAGAACCTTCTCTCATCATCACCTGATTTTGTGGAGTCAACAAAGGAAAAGATCATTGAGTATGCTGACAAGATAATCTCTACCATCAATCCTGATGTCCTTCCTGATGGAAAGACTATTTGCTGTCAGTCACATCAGAGTGACATATGACATGAAAAATGTCATTCAAACCATCATTCATAATGAATAAGACTGTATTCCAATGTTTAGTTAACATTCACTTTAACATTTACAATGATTATGACTTGTTAATGCTTAATTGATAATTACTAATAATTCTTACATAATTATAATTTAACACATTAATCAGCTCAGGCTCGCCCCTTAATGCGTTGCATTTTCCCTAGTTTTTATGATTTTAACGGTTGCTCCAATTAGAATGTGCAGTTCTTGTAAGTATGCTATTTAGCTCCTTTAGCATGCTTTGTGGGAAACCCTGCAGTTGGACATAATTAATAGGTTTGAATATGATATGTGAAATTGCTTTTAATCAGTTAAAACTTGTAAAATTATTTTAAAATTATATTTGGACAAAATGGTAAAACAACACAGAATACTGTCAAACAATTGAGCAAAAATGGTTGAAAAATGTCTAATGCCTGACTGTTATAGCAGCTAGGCTTTGAGAGGATACTTGCAAACTGGTATGGTAAGAAATCCTACATCAATGCATGAAAGATGAGGCTTATGGTGTATTTTTTTGCTTTATCTTTATGCATTAGTATAGGATTTCTTACCACACGAATTTGCAAGTACCCTTTTGTTTTAAATGTAGAAAATCATGAGAAACTCGAATTCAAAGCAGCTGATATGGAGAAGGAGGAACAATATCTTAAGGAGAAGCAGATCATTATTGGTTAGTTAACTATGCACACAGCATGTATTAGATGAGAGAATGTATTTATTGTGTAGCTGACAATCAAAATCTCAAAGCTGAAATTTCTGATAAAGACAAAGTTATCGCCAAACTGACATTACAAGTAGAGGAACAGTCACAGAATGAGAAACAGATCATTACTGGTTAGTGTATCATCATCAATCAATAATAATTATTGATATTTGATTAATTAATTATAGACCTTAAAGCTAATAAATTGTATGCAGCCAAACTAATGAAGGAGAAGTCACAACTACAGGAGAGAGTCACATCCTTAGAGGATCAATCTATCAAAGAAACTAGTTCCATTGGACTACAATTTAATTACCTGATCCCTTCAATTGGTAAATTATACATGTTCATCACATTTACACATGTGAATGATTGTGTGTGTACAGTACTGGTATTAGGTACCGGTATGATGTCTTTGTATTGTTTCAGATTCACTAGACTCTAGTGTCATTATAGCTGGAAAGAAGCTCTTTATCCTACAAGGAGACAGGTCTCACTCACTCCATTGGGAGAAATATGGATTCAGATTAGAGTGTCCTCAAGGAGCAGTGTCCAAGGATACTGAAATAGCTGTTATTGCACTAGCTGGTGGTAATTTCAAGGTACCCAAAGGTACTGTGCTAGTCAGTGCAGTATATGCAATATCAGTATCTAAGGCACTATTAAAACCACTGGTAATAGAGCTACAACATTGTGTTGATCTAAGGAACACTAGTCAGATTGATCGCCTCAAGTTTGTCAGAGCTCCACTGAAGTCTCCTGATGCCTACCAGTTCAGTATAGTTGAAGGAGGATCTTTTAATGTAAGGAACAGATATGGTTCTATTGAACGTGATGAATTCAGTGCTTTTGGCATTGGATATCTTGGTAATGGAGACATATCTAATGGAAATGGAAATGAAGCAGAAGATGATACACAAAGTCAAGGTATACATCGCACAATAACAATAGTTTTTGCATAATTTGCTGTTGATGTGTTTGTATGATGTATAGGAACAGATAATGATAGTGATGAGGAGACTAATGGAGACACACCTAATGATAGCAGTAATGGCGTAGGAGAGAATAGTAGTGGAGCAAGAGCCACTCCATCAACAAGTACTACACCGCCTCATTGTAACTGTATACTATGCATCACATAGTGCAAGGGCTGTAAATTTTGCAAATTTACCCAAAACTCTATTTCTCAGATTAAATTTTTGCAAATTACCAGTAAGATCCGGTATACTGTTTGCCATATTGTACTCTTGATTTTTGTGGGATTAATTTAGTAAATCTTCAATGAATTGTGCAAAATCTGTGAAATTAACAGCTCTTGAAAATTTGTGCTATACAATAATGCTGCATGTATTTTGATTTATAGACTCAATTAATGATGATCCTTCTCAGTTAGTCAATGAGGTAGAATCCCATACTACTGATGACACTAACACAACAGAGCAATCATCAGATATACTAAGTGATTGTGATAAAGCTACAACTACCATATCCAGTGAACAGTGTCCAGCAAAGAATGACGATGAATCACTACAATCTTCTCATAGTGCAACTAATCATTCCATTGCTGAAAATGGTATATTATACAGTGTTAATAGTGCATGTACATGTTGTTAATGCTTTTAGCACCTTCTCATGATATATTGTATTCTGGAATGATGTACTATAAAAAGAAAGAAGTTAATCATTGGAAAGCTATGTATTCTGTTGTTAGAGATTTGGAAGTTCTTAAAACGGTAATGTATTTTTATGTGCACACTTACTTAATAGTTCACCTTGTTATATTTATGTTCATGTAGTATTTAGAAAGCAAGCAGTCATCAATTGAATATGATGATGAAACTGCTGACCCATTTAAGTTTATTCAACCAAATGGAACCCTCAAATTGGTTCTAGAAACTACTCCGCCACAGTTAGGATGGACTGTTGATCCTGATAAAGAACCAATGGAAGTATGCACCTATATTGTGTAGTCAAATGAACTATGTGTCTTCACTGCAGTTATTTCAGTCCTTTATTGAGCACTTTTCATCAAATCCCTCTCCCTCACATGCAACCTGCAGTATCTCAGTCTATGCTGAAATTGGTGTTGCAAAAAAGCCACTTCATTATCCTATTAAATTGACAGGAATAGATCCTTCAAAAATTGTATACATCAACAAGTCACTTCCAGCAATGAGTAAATTAATGAAAACTTTTGAAGTTTATTGATTATTTTTATTCAGATAATAGCTTACCTCATGTCACAGATCCTTCCTCTAATAAAGTACATGAATCAACGTCAGTATCATCCAATGGAGGAGCTAGTATAAGTGAGATAATACTGTGTGTATATACCGACCTTTGACCTCTATTAGGTCCATCAGCTACTGTTGATGTGAATAAAGTAAAGAAAGTGATCAATGATGTTCTTGTATCTCATTATGCTGATCTCAATTCTTTGCCTAAGAAAGGTCTTTCTGAACTTGCTAACCAGCTTTACACAGTTTGTCTGGTCAATAATGCAGTTAAAGAGGCTCCTTTGATGAAAGAGTGCATTAATGAGTTCCAGGCTAGTCTTAGTTTTAAGAGGAAGGTGTCCCAAGTGCAGGAGCACTGTCAAAAGTTCTTAAGCTCATTCAATGCTGTAAGAGGCAGTTACGCTGATGCAGCAATAGCTTTACGTGAGGACTGGATTGAAGCTATTAGGAATGAACTGAGACTTAATTTTGATATTGATAATAATGCTTAAAAGTACCGTATAGCAGGAAATTTTGGAGGGAATTAAATTTGGCAAATTGGCGTTTTGATAGCCATTCACTGAAATAAAAATTTGCCATTTTTAGTCATTATGCACATGCTCAATGGCACTTGGCCACAAATTTGTAAAATTAAAATTCGCCAATCACCAAAATTTAGAAAATTTGCCAAATTTTGCTTCCTTCAAAGTTTCCCGCTATAAAAAGCATACAGTGCATAGTATACATGTACATGTATTATTTTAAAGCATGTAATATTGCACATGCAATTACTTGCACAGATAATTATTGATATGGAATATTTTGCATTGTAATCTGGTAAAAACAAATTCCTAAATTGGTAAAATAATAACAAATTGTCCTTCGGTAATTTGATTTTTATATTCTAAAGGCATTATAGTTTAACTAAATTTATTCCCCCTAAGATACAATGAATACAGCAATCAGTGCACAATCAACACACAAAATATGGCACAACATGCAATAGATTTTTTGACCCTGGTAGACTTAGACCACCTTTTGGATAGTAAGACTAATAATTATTGGCTAACAGTGCATAAAAACAAACAAGCTACAATATTCAAATCAGATGAATATTGAACAGTAGTTCCCATGCACACTATAGTTTGTAAATTCCAGTACTAGACAGCTTAATAAACCTTGCAATCCAAAATGACACCCAATTTTCAGATGTAGGTGGATACAGTACTGGTAACACATTCATACATTTCATTATTCACAGTCTACAGGTTTAAAGCATACCACTTAGTACGAGAACCTCTGAGACAGAGGATGGTGGCCCAAATGATGGCAAATAATAACCTCATACAAATCCAGTTTATGGTGGTACTATAGCCTCTGTGCCAAGTGAGAGAAAGACTGTCTGCAAGACGCTGAATGAATTTTGTGCACTCTTTACTCATTAAACCATCCACTGATACACAAAGAGAAGTGAATAGTGCCCTTCTTTCCTCACAAGCAGCACTGTACTTCCTCTTCTCTTTCTCAGCTGCTGTGAGTACTGCAGGAGGAGTTTGACTGTTTTATTATTACTTTTATTATTGTTATGTGTGAACTGTGAAGTGTAGATCCATAAATTATTTCTATTATTATAAAACCAATAATTTTTTAAAATTATAGTTGCGCTTTGGTATTGCACCAGCCATTCTTAGTCGTCATTACCATCATTATGCTATTGAACAAAATTATTCTATTTGGGCCAGATGATAAGAGGATTTGAAACTTCTATTAGTTTTTTATTCTTGTCCTTAGAAATTATTTTGAAAGTAAAAAAGAAGCATAATTATGAATAACTTTGAAACAGCCCAGTACATGTACAAACAACTCATGCACGCAAGTGAAAATGAATCTAACCACACAACCCCAGTGAGAGTAACTATAGAATTACAATTGTATATCATGAGTTGTTAGTGATGTATCTATTCAGTTGGACACTTGTCCTGTAAGATGATTCGGATATCACTTCTATTGCTGTTATCAATTGTGGGATCAAGAGTACATGGGCTGAGCTTGTCAGTTAGTGCTAATGGTACTAACAGTCCTGAGTGCTTCCATGACTACAAACCATGTAAGACACTAGAGTATATTGCAAAGAACTTGAAAGCAAAAAAAAATATTTCCATTTCTCTTGATTCACCTGACTTTGATACTTCCAGTGTTGCACTCTTTGATGGTTGGACTAATCTCACAATACAAGGACAGGGGGCTACAATGAACT